ATGTATTATGTGCTCCTTCCAAGTCAGCTTTTGGTCTAATAGCATGCCCAGGTATTTGGCTTTCTGGCAGATTGATATAATAAAATTTTGAAGCGTAAAGTTTCTTAGTTGATTTGCGAATTTTGGTGATGTTAGCAAGCACTGGCAATTTTTTATGATTCCTGATGCTGTTAGGTAGCATTTTTATTCCCTTTATGCTCATGTTGTTTTTTTCAATAGTTTTGTTACAATTTCTTGCACTATTGTTGATAGATCGTATTAGGTCTAAAGAATGGATTAGATGTGCACTTCTGTAATAAAAAAATCTGTGTTAATTTTGTTTTTTAACAGGCTAATTGTTCAGTAGTATATTATTTATATTTATTATTTATGATGAATATGTAATGCAATATATTTATTATTATTGAACTAATAAATTTTTTATATTTTCACACTTTTATATATTAATAATTTTTAATTATTTGCTAATTGTATATGTATATACAATGTTTTTATATACTTATAGTAATATATGTAGGTTCGTGAATAAATAATATAATTTTAATATTTATAAAAGAATTATAAATATAAATGCTGATGTCTGTCCGTCCATTTACATGCTCCATAGACTTCAAACAATAACTAAATCTTGATTAAATATTTTCTTGTAGTTATAACATTTTTTTTTATATTTTTTTAATAAAAAACTAAATGTTGTGAGCTTATTTTAATTAAAAAACAAACAAAAAAATTTACAACCACAATTACAAGACTGCTTAAGATTTCCTACTATTACACAACCAACTGCTCGAAGTCCATAATTTATATCCTATGCTTTCAATGCATTTGAAATGCAATTTTTTAAATATTTTTTGTTTTTGTTTTTGTTTTTGTTTATTTCTTGTATTTAATTCACGTGACTTAAAATAAAGTTTAGTTTTTATGCAATAAAAAAAAAATAAACAAAATCTATTAAACAACGTCTGCTTATGGAAGTCATTGAACTTATCAGGAAAACGGAAACATTGAATTGGTTTATGCTATGTAGGCAAATCACTTTGCATGCATGCTTATACTTATAGATAAAGATACAAATGTATCTTTTTGTGTTTTGTTGTTATTTAATATTCTAAAGCACCGATAGTTACTTAACTTGTCAAAGTACAGTTTACTTATCTGCCCTGCCGTTCATTAATATAAATTTTTCTCTGACATAGGTGTAGAGAGAGTATTAGGTACATACATAAAAGACATTAATTAATTGTATAATAAAATTATATGCAATTTAAAATAATTTCCTCTTTTTTATGAATAGAAATTTTTTTTAATTTTAATTTCGAAATTCTCAACTTCACTGTTTTTCATACTTAGTTTATATTATATATGGTTTGCAGAAACAAAAAAATTTACTTATTTAAAAAATCTAAAAATGATGTAATAATTTTTTAACATAATTTATTGAATTTATATCACCGATACTTAAAAGTTTTTCTGACTTCTTACTGGGTGCAAAATTATTAATAACTAATCTCAGCTTAAAATTCTTTGGTTTAATATATTAAAAAAAAAACAAAAAAGCCTAAGAGATAGATAACTAATATAGAAATTAAGTGAGTATTGAATATAAAAGAGAACTCGTCACAAAAAAAAATTTAATTCCAAATTCCAAAACATTGTTATTAATTATTAAAATTTATTGTTAACGGCGCCTTAAGAATTACCACTTTGCGTAGAGCGGTGTTTCCCAAAACTTTTTTACATAACGTCTCACTTAAGACTTTCAAAAAGTCCTATGTCCCCGCTTTTGTTTGTATTTTTAAGTTAATAAATCTTGAATTATACATTGTGACCGAAAGGTTTTCGGAGGTTCTCATTTAAAATTCGCGCGCTGTATATTTTTCGATATTTTAAGTTATGTAGTTTGGCAGCACTGTCCTTAATTACTATGCCAAAAATGAGCGCGATCTGTCGGACAGTTCGTTTACGGCAGCTGTTGAAACCAGTTCACCTCAGTAGTGCGTTGCGAAAAAAACAATGGAAAAAAATATTGAACAAAGAGTTTGCATCAAATTTTGTTTTTCGAACGAAATTTCGTGTGCAGAATCGTTGCGAATGCTACAAAAGGCTTATGGGGAATCAGTTTTATCGAAAACTCAAGTTTATGAGTGGTACAAAGCCTTTCAGGACTGTCGTACGACCGTCGAAGACATGCCGCGTTCTGGACGACCTTCGACCTCTACCACCGACGAAAACATTGAAAAGGCAAAGGAAATCGTGTTCAAAAATCCTCATGTGAGTGTTAGAGAGATAGCACGAGAGCTAGGCATCGGTCGTGAGATGGCTCGTTTGATTTTGGTGGACAATTTGTGTATGCGACGTGTCAACGCCCGGCTTGTTCCGATTCACCTCAATTTGTTCAACATTATCAACGATTTTAAGGCCAAACATTCAATAAATACCATCGAACAGCCACCGTATTCACCTGATCTTGCACCGTGTGACTTTTTCCTGTTTCCCAACCTCAAATTACCACTCAGAGGAACGCGTTTTGAATCCATAGAAGACGTAAAACAGAATTCGCAGAGGGAACTCAAAGCCATACCGGAAAGCGCCTATAAAAAATGTTTTTATGATTGGAAGAAACGTTGGCATTTGTGTATCGCTTCTAATGGAGCATATTTTGAAGGAGATAAAATAAATATTGATGAAGATTAAGAATTTTGCGTTTTATTTATTTATGACCGGAAACTTTTCGGTCACAATGTATACTGGTTTAAGCAAACATTTTTGTTTTTGACGATTTTTTTTAGTCCTCTTTTTAAAAACTCCCATCAAACGACAGGGTAGCATATAATAATCGGAACTGCTTATATCAATACATGTTATCACTTTCGCTCCACAGTCAACAATAACAATTTTTGTACGTCACATACGTATAGATTAACACTAATATAAAGGAAAGTTAAAAAAAGTCTATTAATAACGCCCATTCTGGTTGTTGCACGTCTGTCTTCTTATCAAACAACGACCCTTGATGAGAAATGTTAACTGATTATGATATTGTATCTTAGTAAAGTTCGGAGAAATATTGCTCTTTCATAGCGAAATTTTGCATCTGCGTATGTACCAGAAATCTTCTTAAAAGTTTTTATCGGTTGATATTATAGTCCACAATAGAATAGAATAGAATACGTAAAAATAAAATAAAAATCAAAAATTAAAAAAATTAAAAGTAAAGTAGTATATTAGAATAATTAAAAGTATTTATATATTTTTTTTTAATTATCGGTATTATCTCATTTATCAAAATAATCAAATTTATTTTCCTCTGATTTATACACCCGTCCAAAAATACTTAGTACCCCTTTTCTGCCATATTTACGGTTGTGAGATTCCCTGGATCTATTTATTTAGATCCTATTTAATGGATCTCATTAACACTCTTATTCGGTAGTATTCCTAGTATTGCATGATTTAAGACCAGTGTTTACAATTTGGGAAATAAGAAATTGATAAAAATTATTGGTATAGGCTGCACTTAATTTTCGTTGTTTGTCACATTTACGGTTGTGAGATATATTAAATCTCTCAAAATCAGTATTTCTCAACCCAATGTGTTTAGCAAATACGGTCGGTATTAATACCTTTTTGAAAAATAATGTCATTAAAGACGTTAATACAATATTTTCTAGTATTAAACAGTGCACATGAGCAGCGGTGCCATCGCTAATACAGTTCTATGCATTTTCTATCGTAAATTCGATAGAGTTGTGAGATATCGCGTAATATTCATTTAAAATAATAAATCACTACTTGTGTTGTTTTTTTTCTTCTGTTTGATCGTATCAAAAGATAATAAACAATAACACATTTTTACAATCAAAACAACAAATACTTTTAGAAAATCATTTACTTAAAGTAGTTGTTATATACAACTGCCAGAATTACACATTTATCTCAACAGACTTTATTAATTTTTTTTATTATTTTTTTATTATAAAATGAGTTATTCCACAATTATTTTTACATAGCAACCAATTAACACTTAGAAAATATTCTCCCTCCTTAGATTGTGTCCATTTATCTTTATTTTTAAATGTGCGATTTTAGTATTTACTTTAGTAAATGTTTAAATACTGCAACTTCACCTTTTTTACTGCACATTCCAAGAATTATTTATTTATATTGTGGTTATTATCTATTATTTGGACTATATGTAAACCATATTATAAATCATTACATGGAAATGCTTTTGTAAACAGACTTTTTAAGAACTATTTGGTCACATATATACTAAGTCTTTCTTAAACTTTGTTTAATAGTTTTGTTTATATATTGTCTAATAATCAATTTGATTGTAATATGTGTAGTAAACCAATGTAACTCTTCGAAAACAGCGTCCCATAAAACTGTTTGGTTGTAGATATTTTAACTCTTTATAATAATTTTGATCAACAGTTTTAAATGTTCTCTAAATATCGATTATTATTCTCATTACCATGTACAAATTTTTTTTAACTGCTATATTATATGGTAATGGTAATGTATTATGGGTTAGGCTTAGGCTTTTATGTACTGCGATTAGCTTGATCTATTGTGCACCAACGGCTATATATATAATGTATGTCAAAAGTATACTATATACTATAACTATAATGAGCATATTTTTACATGACAACTATTATTCTCTAAATGTCATTAGTAAACGATCGATTGCTCTTAATATATCAAATGAAAGCTTTAACTACATTTTATATTGCATTGTTAATTTGCACAACTCCAGCAAAAACTTAATTACTTTAACTGCAAGACAACAATCGCAACTTGATCTGAATTTTCATAATTAATTTTGTTAAATACTTTCACCATTTCAACTATTTATATACTTCCGACGGTTAATTATTAATATTACTTAATGTTTTATACCTACTTTTAAAAAAAAAATTAATTTAAAATTGATAAAAAAGCACATATAATAATCATTTTAATTAATATTTTATTATTTCCTTTATTATTTACAGGCTAAGGAAATTCTTTCGAAAGAATCCAATGTTCAAGAAGTGAAATGTCCTGTTACAGTATGTGGCGATGTACACGGACAGTTCCATGATTTAATGGAACTATTTCGGATAGGCGGCAAATCTCCTGACACTAATTACTTATTCATGGGTGATTATGTTGATCGTGGTTACTACTCTGTAGAAACTGTAACCTTATTAGTTGCGCTTAAAGTAAGGTACCGTGAAAGAATTACTATTTTACGTGGTAATCATGAATCGCGACAAATTACTCAAGTATATGGCTTCTACGATGAATGCCTTCGCAAATATGGGAATGCAAACGTTTGGAAATACTTTACCGATCTTTTTGATTACTTGCCACTGACGGCATTAGTCGACGGACAAATTTTCTGTTTGCATGGCGGTTTAAGTCCATCTATTGATAGCTTGGATCATATTCGTGCGTTGGATCGATTACAAGAGGTGCCACATGAGGGTCCTATGTGTGACTTGCTTTGGTCTGATCCAGATGATAGAGGCGGCTGGGGTATCTCACCACGTGGTGCTGGTTATACTTTCGGTCAAGTAAGTAAATTTATTAAAAAAATTCAAGTTCTTTATTTTTAAATTGAAATTTTTTATTTTGTATTATAGGATATATCGGAAACCTTCAATAACACAAATGGCTTGACATTGGTATCACGTGCCCATCAACTGGTTATGGAAGGTTATAATTGGTGTCACGATCGAAATGTTGTCACAATTTTTTCAGCGCCAAATTATTGTTATCGTTGTGGTAACCAGGCAGCTCTTATGGAATTAGATGATTCACTAAAGTTTTCATTGTAAGTACAAGCGTTATTTTAATAGTGCATAAAGTATCCCTTTACATATTTTTTGTTTTGTTTCAATGAGAGTATTAGAGCCGTATATTAACTAATCTAAAGCATACATGAGTGCTTTTTTTTTTTAATTGTTTATTGTTCAAGTTTATACTTTATAACTTAATTGATATGTACAATCATTATTGACGTTTTTAATGATATATAATTAATTTATTTTCAATTTTTATAATTCAAAATGGCCTTCCTCTTATATATAATTTTTTGTGTCTGCTTAATTTTTTGCTAACACATTTTTACTGATTATTTTTGATCTACATATATCTCCTGATATCAAATTTATCTTATCTTTAAATAGCACAATTACGTGATAAGCGAAATACTACTACTCGCCTTTACTTATTTCTATGCGTTTTCATAGTTTTTTATTTAATTTAATTTTTTTTTTCCTTTTGTCTGATATAAATTTTTATAAATTTAATCAAAATGGAAATTTTGCTGATATCGTATTGCATTGCTTACGAATGTATTCTTATCATGAGAGCCTTAAATTTGTAAATAGCTTTTTTTTATATTTAAATATTTTCTAATTGCGATAAAAATTGTTTTTGTTTTTATTATATGTACCCATTTTGTTACTAAAAATATTTATATATATATATATATATATATATTGCATTTCAAAATATTTACTGTCATTCTCTGATGTATTAGGCAAAATAATTTTCTTAGCATGAATTATATACATAATTATACACACATTTGGTATATGTTTTTCAACAACAATTTATCTGTATACATTAACTAAAAATAATTATACAAACGCTATAAAAAAAATATTTTGTGTCAGTCAGTCAGTATGTCTACGATTTTTACTTTAGAGAGAAACAATAACAGTAACTACATTGTGACCGAAAAGCTTCCGGAAATTTTAAATAAAACGCAAAATTCTTAATCTTCATCAATATTTATTTTATCTCCTTCAAAATATGCTCCATTAGAAGCGATACACAAATGCCAACGTTTCTTCCAATCATCAAAACATTTTTTATAGGCGCTTTCCGGTATGGCTTTGAGTTCCCTCTGCGAATTCTGTTTTACGTCTTCTATGGATTCAAAACGCGTTCCTCTGAGTGGTAATTTGAGGTTGGGAAACAGGAAAAAGTCACACGGTGCAAGATCAGGTGAATACGGTGGCTGTTCGATGGTATTTATTGAATGTTTGGCCTTAAAATCGTTGATAATGTTGAACAAATTGAGGTGAATCGGAACAAGCCGGGCGTTGACACGTCGCATACACAAATTGTCCACCAAAATCAAACGAGCCATCTCACGACCGATGCCTAGCTCTCGTGCTATCTCTCTAACACTCACATGAGGATTTTTGAACACGATTTCCTTTGCCTTTTCAATGTTTTCGTCGGTGGTAGAGGTCGAAGGTCGTCCAGAACGCGGCATGTCTTCGACGGTCGTACGACAGTCCTGAAAGGCTTTGTACCACTCATAAACTTGAGTTTTCGATAAAACTGATTCCCCATAAGCCTTTTGTAGCATTCGCAACGATTCTGCACACGAAATTTCGTTCGAAAAACAAAATTTGATGCAAACTCTTTGTTCAATATTTTTTTCCATTGTTTTTTTCGCAACGCACTACTGAGGTGAACTGGTTTCAACAGCTGCCGTAAACGAACTGTCTGACAGATCGCGCTCATTTTTGGCATAGTAATTAAGGACAGTGCTGCCAAACTACATAAACTTAAAATATCGAAAAATATACAGCGCGCGAATTTTAAATGAGAACCTCCGAAAACTTTTCGGTCACAATGTAAATCATTTCATATTTACACTCATAAAGTACGTAATTTTTATTTCTGCATGTTTTCGGCTATCTCATGTCTACACTACATTATACCAAAGACTTAAGTAATAAAATTTCAATACTCTTAAATAAATTTTTTAACACTGTTATAGATATTATTATATTCAAGCGATAAAATTTTAGTCATGTCTTACTATAATTACCCCTCTGTTCTATAAGTCAAAACGAGAACACTACGCCGGAAGTTTTTGACCCTATTGGTATTCAATATTTTTGTATAATTATGTTTTTTTTACAATTTTATATATATATTTCGATATATTAATTTTATTAATAGTTTTATTATATATTGTAATAATATTAAAATTATATTTGTCCTTGTGTTATTTGCTGATTGAAACTTAAAAATCAGTGATTGTCAAAAAGGACGTACATTAAATCCAATATTTCGTTATTGCTAATATGTCCAAACATCATTTTAGCATTTCCATATATTGGTAACACATCATTATGCTCTTTTACTAGATGATAATAATACTCCACTCAAATTTTGGACGTATCCTTTTCGTAGCTATAAGATATTAAGAATTAAAAATTAATATTTGTCCTTGTGTTATTTGCTGATTGAAACTTAAAAATCAGTGATTGTCAAAAAGGACGTATATTAAAACCAATAATTCGTTGTTGCTAATATGTCCAAACAGCATTTTAGCATTTCCATATATTGATAACATATTATAATACGCTTTCACTTGATGATAATACACCAGTCAAATTTTGGACATACTCTTTTCGTAGTTGTGGGATATTAAGAACTAGTAACTTATATTTGTCCTTGTGTTATTTGCTGATTGAAACTTAAAAATCAGTGATTGTCAAAAAGGACGTATATTAAAACCAATAATTCGTTGTTGCTAATATGTCCAAACAGCATTTTAGCATTTCCATATATTGGTAACATATAATACGCCTCCACTTGATGATAATACTCCAGTCAAATTTTGGACATAACCTTTTCGTAGTTCTGGGATATTAAGAATTAGTAATTAATATTTGTCCTTGTGTTATTTGCTGATTGAAACTTTAAAATCAGTGATTGTCAAAAAGGACGTATATTAAAGCCAATACTTCGTTGTTGCTAATAAGTCCAAACAGCATTTTAGCATTTCCATATATTGGTAACATATCATAATACGCTTTCACTAGATGATAATAATAACTACAGTCAAATTTTGGAAATAACGTTTTCGTAGTTCTGGGATATTAAAATTTAATAATTAATCTTTGTCCTTGTGTTATTTGCTGATTGAAACTTAAAAGTCAGTGATTGTCAAAAAGGACATATATTAAAACCAATAATTCGTTGTTGCTAATATGTACAAACAGCATTTTAGCATTTCCATATATTGGTAACATATAATACGCTTCCACTTGATGATAATACTCCAGTCAAATTTTGGACATATCCTTTTCGTAGTTGTGGGTTATTAAGAATTAGTAATTAATATTTGTCCTTGTGTTATTCGCTGATTGAAACTTAAAGATCAGTGATTGTCAAAAAGGACGTATATTAAAACCAATAATTCGTTGTTGCTAATGTGTTCAAACAGCATTTTAGCATTTCCATATATTGGTAACATATCATAATACGCTTCCACTAGATGATAATACTCCAGTCAAATTTTGGACATAACCTTTTCGTAGTTGTGGGATATTAAGTATTTGTAATTAATATTTGTCCTTGTGTTATTTGCTGATTGAAACTCAAAAATCAGTGATTGTCAAAAAGGACGTATATTAAAACTAATACTTCGTTGTTGCTAATATGTCCAAACAGCATTTTAGCATTTCCATATATTGGTAACATATCATAATACGCTTTCACTAGATGATAATAATAACTACAGTCAAATTTTGGAAATAACGTTTTCGTAGTTCTGGGATATTAAAATTTAATAATTAATCTTTGTCCTTGTGTTATTTGCTGATTGAAACTTAAAAGTCAGTGATTGTCAAAAAGGACGTATATTAAAACCAATAATTCGTTGTTGCTAATATGTCCAAACAGCATTTTAGCATTTCCATATATTGGTAACATATAATACGCTTCCACTTGATGATAATACTCCAGTCAAATTTTGGACATACTCTTTTCGTAGTTGTGGGATATTAAGAATTAGTAATTAATATTTGTCCTTGTGTTATTCGCTGATTGAAACTTAAAAATCAGTGATTGTCAAAAAGGACGTATATTAAAACCAATAATTCGTTGTTGCTAATATGTCCAAACAGCATTTTAGCATTTCCATATATTGGTAACATATAATACGCCTCCACTAGATGATAATACTCCAGTCAAATTTTGGACATAACCTTTTCGTAGTTCTGGGATATTAAGAATTAGTAATTAATATTTGTCCTTGTGTTATTTGCTGATTGAAACTTTAAAATCAGTGATTGTCAAAAAGGACGTATATTAAAGCCAATACTTCGTTGTTGCTAATATGTCCAAACAGCATTTTAGCATTTCCATATATTGGTAACATATCATAATACGCTTTCACTAGATGATAATAATAACTACAGTCAAATTTTGGAAATAAAATTTTCGTAGTTGTGTGATATTAAGAATTAGTAATTAATCTTTGTCCTTGTGTTATTTGCTGATTGATACTCAAAAATCAGTGATTGTCAGAAAGGACGTATATTAAAGCCAATACTTCGTTGTTGCTAATATGTCCAAACAGCATTTTAGCATTTCCATATATTGGTAACATATCATAATACGCTTCCACTAGATGATAATACTCCAGTCAAATTTTGGACATATCCTTTTCGTAGTTGTGGGTTATTAAGAATTAGTAATTAATATTTGTCCTTGTGTTATTCGCTGATTGAAACTTAAAGATCAGTGATTGTCAAAAAGGACGTATATTAAAACCAATAATTCGTTGTTGCTAATGTGTTCAAACAGCATTTTAGCATTTCCATATATTGGTAACATATCATAATACGCTTCCACTAGATGATAATACTCCAGTCAAATTTTGGACATAACCTTTTCGTAGTTGTGGGATATTAAGTATTTGTAATTAATATTTGTCCTTGTGTTATTTGCTGATTGAAACTCAAAAATCAGTGATTGTCAAAAAGGACGTATATTAAAACTAATACTTCGTTGTTGCTAATATGTCCAAACAGCATTTTAGCATTTCCATATATTGGTAACATATCATAATACGCTTTCACTAGATGATAATAATAACTACAGTCAAATTTTGGAAATAACGTTTTCGTAGTTCTGGGATATTAAAATTTAATAATTAATCTTTGTCCTTGTGTTATTTGCTGATTGAAACTTAAAAGTCAGTGATTGTCAAAAAGGACATATATTAAAACCAATAATTCGTTGTTGCTAATATGTACAAACAGCATTTTAGCATTTCCATATATTGGTAACATATAATACGCTTCCACTTGATGATAATACTCCAGTCAAATTTTGGACATATCCTTTTCGTAGTTGTGGGTTATTAAGAATTAGTAATTAATATTTGTCCTTGTGTTATTCGCTGATTGAAACTTAAAGATCAGTGATTGTCAAAAAGGACGTATATTAAAACCAATAATTCGTTGTTGCTAATGTGTTCAAACAGCATTTTAGCATTTCCATATATTGGTAACATATCATAATACGCTTCCACTAGATGATAATACTCCAGTCAAATTTTGGACATACCCTTTTCGTAGTTGTGGGATATTAAGAATTAGTAATTAATATTTGTCCTTGTGTTATTTGCTGATTGAAACTTTAAAATCAGTGATTGTCAAAAAGGACGTATATTAAAGCCAATACTTCGTTGTTGCTAATATGTCCAAACAGCATTTTAGCATTTCCATATATTGGTAACATATCATAATACGCTTTCACTAGATGATAATAATAACTACAGTCAAATTTTGGAAATAAAATTTTCGTAGTTGTGTGATATTAAGAATTAGTAATTAATCTTTGTCCTTGTGTTATTTGCTGATTGATACTCAAAAATCAGTGATTGTCAGAAAGGACGTATATTAAAGCCAATACTTCGTTGTTGCTAATATGTCCAAACAGCATTTTAGCATTTCCATATATTGGTAACATATCATAATACGCTTTCACTAGATGGTAATAATAACTCTGGTCAAAGTTTGGACATACTCTTTTCGTACTCTTTCTTTTCTTTTGTGGGATATTAAGTATTAGTAATAAATATTTGTCCTTGTGTTATTTGCTGATTGAAATTTTAAAATCAGTGATTGTCAAAAAGGACGTATATTAAAACCAATAATTCGTTGTTGCTAATATGTCCAAACAGCATTTTAGCATTTCCATATATTGGTAACATATCATAATACGCTTTCACTTGATGATAACACTCCAGTCAAATTTTGGACATACTCTTTTCGTAGTTGTGGGATATAAAGAACTAGTAACTAATATTTGTCCTTGTGTTATTTGCTGATTGAAACTTAAAAATCAGTGATTGTCAAAAAGGACGTATATTAAAACCAATATTTCGTAGTTGCTAATATGTCCAAACAGCATTTTAGCATTTCCATATATTGGTAACATATCATAATAATCTTCATCGCTCTGCAGAAAAATAAAATTTCTTAATTCTTTTGAATTGACTCATTAATTCACCGTAATCATTTACTGTATCGTAATTTCCGTGATTAAATATTAGAACATCGCATAAATCGTTGTGGATTAAAATCATTTCCAACTATATTATTTTTATTCGGTCATTCGATATTAAAAATCAAGCATAAACCACAGCTATACAATAAATAAGTTAACTGAATATATTTATTTATTTATTTTTTTACTAGGAACTTTATTTTTATTTTTATTTATTATTTTTTATTTTTATTTTTATTTATTATTTTTTATTTTTATTTTTTTTATTTAATTGCTAGTTTTAATCACTTCTATTTTAATTATTTTATTTATAAATAGTTATATTAAATATCTGTTGTTTTTTTTCATTTCAGCCTACAATTTGACCCAGCACCCCGACGTGGCGAACCACACGTTACACGAAGAACACCGGATTATTTCCTATAAGCAAAATTGGAGCATATTTATATTCAGATTATTAAATTCAAAAGTATCAGTTACACAAAATTAACATAAAAATAATAACAAACGATAAGAAACAAGAAAAAAAACATTTTTTAATTTATATTTCGTATAAAGATCACAAAATGATAATATTTTAAATTCAATAAAAAATGTTCTCATGTTTTTTTGCGTTAATTTTGTTTTAAATATCGAACAGAACAAGCTAAGGAAATAGAATTAAAAAGTAATTATATAATTTAAATTTAATCGAAAGTATGAACCAACAAAATCATAAAACAAACTCGATTTAAGCAAAATAAAATTAAAATAATATATAATTTTAATAATTTAAATAAATAAATAAATTTCAATATTTGAGAAATGAAACTATATAAAAAATAAAATATTAAATTTAAAAACAAGGACGAATGCGATCCTTATTACAGTTGCATCAATAAATAATTATATAATTATAAAAAACAAATCTTTAAATGAAAATAAAAATAAATAAATAAACAAAAATATTGACTTCTTTTATCAAAACTTTGCAAAACTAAAAACGCTGCGATCAACCGTACTTTTAGATCGTTTTTTAGCTCATTCATATGGAAAAACATTAATAATAATGTTAAAAAATTGGAAGAAAAAGAAGGAGTACATAACTAAAACATATTCCAGGCATACCAATAGCATAATAACAACAATTTCAGTAGTTTAGTAAAAGTAATATATATAAAAAAAATCAATTTAAAGTACACATTTACATAATGAATTCATACAAACATGCACCCCAATTCTATACACACGACACATACAATACATTATTTAGTAAATTATATTAAAAGTTGCTAACATTAAAACAAAACAAAAAAACAATAATAAATTATGTGGAAAAAAATTAAGCATATAATAATAATAATAATAATAATTTAAGTTAAATATAATTGAAGAAATAAATAAAAATATTTAGAAAACCTAAACAATTGATTGTAATTATTTTTAAAAGAACTTATTAACAACGACGAAATATATTTACACAGAGAGAGAGAGAGATAGAAAGGAAGAAGGAATATGCTAAATATTCTACTCAAAATGTTTTAGAATTTATTCAATTGAACAATAAAAATCCAAACCTAAACAAATTGTCATATTTTAAATCCATTCGATTTAGACAGTTTTAAAAAGTCGATTCTACACACAAAAAGAAATGACCACGACCTCATCATGTGTATGTCCTGATGTCCAAAAAGTATTGGAGAGGTTAAGTTGAAAAAATATTCTAGAAATTCTTGGACAAAAAATGTAAATAAAGAAATAGTATTGAAATTAAACAATTAAAAATAAAAATATAAATAATTATTTCAATTATTCTACAGCTGGTTTATATGAGCAAGTGAATTTGTTAATAAAAAAACATTCACAGCAAATTAACAAAACTCCAGAAAAATGTGCGAACATAAAATTCGAGTACGGTGCACTGACTCTGAGCTTCCAATTTGGCAGGGCAGGATTTCGTTTCTTGGTATTTGCAGTCTCTAAAAAATATTTACGAATATTTAAATACAAGAACTATTTCCAATACCACTGATGATAGGTATTTGGCAATACTGGAAACAGCCAAAAATTAAATTAATATAAAAAGAATTTTTGTTATTGTAGTTCACTATTTTTCGAAAAACCTCTATATAAAGAAATTTTAATAAGCACATTCCATGAAAATATTGAGTTGTACTTATGCGATAAACATTTAAGTTAAGTAAACCTTAAGTGTTTAGATTGGATTGTAAGATTTACGCTTAAGGCAATATAACGCAAGCGATCATATGATTATAGATTACCACGTTACTTGTTGCTCTCAATGTAATTTGAAAAATTGAAAGCACTAATATTATGTATGTTTTTTTTACTATATATTAATACGTATAAATGCGTATAGGTATATAGATTACCCTTTAAATGCCCTTTAATTACCTTTTAATAATTTTAATAATAGTTCAGCTGAATTTTTTTAATAAAACTAGAATAGAGGAATGCGAAAAGCTAGAGGTAGCACAACCTTCTTTAAATATAGCTTCAACTTTACATAGTATGTTCAAATACATTATAGAGATATATATTACTACAAATAAACAATAAATAAGTAAACATTTACTTACACTTACAATTAAATTACAATTACTTACAATTAAATACGTACACTTGCTTTACAAGCAAGTGTACTTATTTAATTATTTTACAATAACAAAATAAATTCTGTAAAGAATAAAAAGAAAAACTTACTTTTCTACAGTGAACATGATATTTATATATATTTATACTTGCGCATATACTCACTCATACATTAAAACAGTAATAAGAAAAGATATAATATTAGGCTTTGATCTTAGCCATAAAGGCCGAGAAATGATCTGTTGATGCTTTCTACCGATTGCAAAAAAAAACTATAGCATTTGGATTGAAATAGAGAATAGATAAAAGCAGAAGAAAAATATATGTGAATTTTTTTTAATAAATTATATATTAAGATCAATTTATCTCGAACAATAGGTACTGCTAGGCACCGAATAATTCTTAAGTATAAACTTACATAACTTGCTGTTTTAAGGAAAAATAATGATAGAATGATTATCATAACTCAAATATCAGTCCCTTAATACATCATGTAAATGTTGAAATAGTAAAGCATTACCCGATTTTATTTTGCAGAGAAGATTTTAAAGACATTATTAAGTTTTATAGATTTAGGTGGCATTTCAACAACGGCTTTTTATTTTCTAATACATGATTTCTAAAACGAAATCTGTTTATTAGTGAACTAAACTTAGCTGTAGAAAATCAACATCATAAGTGGGATGTTGGTATATTCTCCACATCCGAGAATTGAGAGTATATGGTAGACATTTTCCGATGTCTCGACAAACTGCAGCACACCCAATTTGTATTCTAAGAATTATCCGATAAGAAGTTATCAAAAGGAATAGTTCCTTGTCTGTCCGTGCATATTGCTGGTGTCAGATTCATTTAGGATATATTATGGCTTAGATAAAAATTTTTTTGAATATAGCGAATATATATACGTATTCATATAGGATATGGCTCAGATAAAAATTTTTTGAATATAGAGAATATATATATTTATAAGTATCATACATACACTAAGCATATGCACAACAGAACATATTTTTTTGTATATATATTCTACAGAACGTATAAAAGGTGTATAGTAAAAGCTTATGTAGATAAAATAGAAAAAGCTAAAATAATTGGTATCAAGCAAGTTTTTAACCATCTTTACCACTATAATTTTGCTGAGATTTGATCAATATTTATCATTGTTAACGAACATGATCACATCTTTGAAATGATTGTGCTCTTATTAATAGCTGTAGTAATGTTAGTTGATTCCTTATAATCCTCACTGCAGAAATTGTGGAAACCCGCAAGAAAAAGAAACCATAATACATTTTCTTTGTGAATACCCGGCTCTGGCGTCCAGAAGATAGTTTTTAAAAAGATACTTCTTTGGCAGTTATCAGACTGTTCATCGGTGAAGAAGAGATTATATTAAGTTATATGAATTCGACGGGAAGGATTTAGTCTCTACTCTTTTATTCTAGGGGTTTTTGCGAGGAACGTGGTAGCAAAATGGCGAAAAGTCTCTAATTTAGGTACATGGAAGTTATCCTGGCCTACCACTGGAACCAAGCAACCAACCAATGTTAGTTGATATACTTGGTGTCACTGTAACCCAAGAAGACAAGGATTCAATACGAGAATTTTAACTCCAATTTACTTAAGGTTCCTTCTTCCATACCCAAGAACTCATAACAATTTTTTCTTTTTTTAAAAAAAGGATAAACTGCAGGTAATATGTTTTTTTTTGGTATGATTTAAATAAATACATATATTTTTTATAGCATAAAAAGACTAAGGTAAATATTTTATTTTGTTTCGACCTTAAAATCAGTATTTTGAACATTGCATATAAGGTTTTGTTAACCAAATGTTTGGATCTTATCAGTATGACTTCAAACCGAAAAAAAACCACAATTGACCATATATTTCCAGTGTGATGTTCTTTCCAATAGATTTTATTCTGTATTCAGGTCTCTTATTATACATGTCCTGATATATGGTACACAAACTTAGACAATAACCAACAGTGATGAGAATACTTGCAAGCAATTTACGAGAAAAATTCTTTAAAAGATTTAGAATTTCGTACGGGTTGGTAATAAGTATCGAATTAAATGGATTAATGAATACTGAGTTATATCACAATGAGGACATAGTTGAACGTGCATATTAAAATTCAACGAATTTGCTAGTTAACGTAAGTAACATGTAACAAATAACGTTCTCACAATAATATAACTTGTGCTAATGGTGTTGCATCTATATATGATTATTCCTTATGAACTCAGAACAGACTATAAGTTGGATGTATATATATATTTGCTTCACGTATTTAGTATTCATCTATATCTAATATACACATATTTGTAAAATTATTACTTTAGGAAAAAAGATTATCTTCTTCTATTTTGTTGTTGTGAAACCTTGTTTTTAAATGTATGAAGGGAATGTCGTCTTACACACGTAAGATTAAAACAGTGCCCTTCTATGTAAGGATATATTTCGGCTGTTTTTTTGCAATTTTATCATAAGTTCTTCCTTTAACACATGATGTGCAATATATTAAAATATAATAAAAACGAATTTAAAGTAGAAAATTCCTTCATATGTCAAGAAATTAACTCTTAACTAATTAGCTATTAACTAATTACCCTGGTGTCGTACAATTTTATTTCAATATATTTAATTGCAGTTTTTACTTATATCAGCTTTAAAATCAATAAGTCCAAAATTAAAGATATAGCTCTTTGTTTGGGATTAATTTGAAAATTAATTAAGGCTGGATTGCTTCCACTTGTAGGAATGTCTGTAGTTGCTGTTCTCAAACAGCCCGCCTAATATTTCCCAGAAAGAGCACAACGTCGTCCCCTTACAGCAACCACCTAATTGTCCTAGCTCAACTGAGATCAGAATATAGTCAAGTGCTAAACAGTTACTTGTTATACATGAATGTCTCAATTTTCAGCGTTTGCCCCAACCTTAGCTCTAACTCCCTTCCCATGATATGCCTTGTATCCGCCTCACTCTCACTCGCATTCAGTCCCCTCCCCTTTTATACTACCAACACCAATCTACATCTTCATCAAAATATACGTCTTGGAATTTCTTTCATGTTATCTACTTTAGAGTTTTTTTTGAATTACAACAACTTAACAGAAATTTAAAAATTTTGTTAAAAAAGTAGTCATACGCTACCAATAATTGGTAAGTTGTAAATTTAGAAATAAGGATTTTAGTCAAAAATACATCTGGACTTAAATTGAGACAATAATATCATTTATTTAAAATGCAATTGCAACGTACCTTTTATACTTATACTTATTATACTTAGTTCCCATTGTAAAATAAACAACAAAAAATATTTATAAGAAAAAATATATATTTCTTCGTTAAGTTCTTTTTAATCTTCTTAAAAATGTACATTAATAAGTACTTGATACAGATTTGAGCTTGGTAAGCTTTCTATTACTAAATTCTTGTAAAATGAATTACAGTTTAGGATTTTACAAAAGACTTAAACTAATTAAGTATTTTTTTATATATACTATATTTCCGATAAATTGATATCGTCATGAAATTAATATTAATTTATATAATTCTATAATAGTATAATTAAAATTAACAGATAATAATATTAAAATATAATTTAAAACATAAGTTTCTTTTAAATAAATGTTTTATACATTTTATATGAAGAAAAATTTGTCAAATCTAACTGGCTTTGATTATGATGGCAACAAGAGGACATGGTAACATAATGTCCTAATACCTTAGCTTATGACTTATATTAAGTTTATACAGTTTTTATTTTTAAAATACAACGAGTGTTATTTTGATAAATTTCTTATGTCTCAGTGACAATTTTTTTTAATTCAAATTTACAAAAATATATATTTATGTATATGTAATTATAATACATATATTATATGTATTGTCACTACATAAATTTATAGTTAAAAAGATAAGGATATAATCTACTTAAATTTGCATTTGTTTTTTATTATAAAAATATGTTTTAGTAAATTTTTTAATAATCAAAATATTAGGTCTTTATTAAATTTGATTTCAACGTCAATATGACAGTAGTGACTAATTAATAGAGAGATTTCGAAAAGTAGTGAGCTACAACAACGAAAACTCTTTTTATATTATTTTAAATAATTAAATTTTTGGCTGACTATCATCAGTTGTCTCGAAAATTACTTCTTATATATAATTATTCGTAAATAATATTTGGAGACTGCAAGTACCAAGGGTTGAACTCATACCTGAACTCGTACCCTGCCAAATTTGAAGCTTAGAGTCAGTGTTCATTAGCCAACTGACCCAAAGCCGTACTTGACTTGTATGTTCCAACTTGGAGTTTTGTTAATTTGCTGTGAAAGTTTATTCAAATCACAAATTCACTTGCTGCGTTATATGAGAACGTAATCATACATCAGCTGAAGAATAATTGAATTAAAATAATTATATTTTTATTTTTAATTGTTCAATTTTAATAAAATAAATAAAAAATAAATGAGTTTCAAGTTTCCTAAACTAATTCAAATTAAATTACAAATTATATTTCAAAATTATGCAAAAACAAATGCAAAAAAATATTCTAATCATATTTTTTAGCTTAAAATATTTTTATATATCACGAATGAATAATTTTTAAAATATAATAAAAATATAAATAAAATCTTAAAACATTCACCCCTATTCTGAATGCTGTGGGAATGGGAGTTTTCACTCTTTTCCCATTTCCCTTATTTCGAATGTGAATGAAATGGGAATTAGAGTTTTTTCACTATTTCGTACCAAACTTATCCTAAGCAAGTTGTGTGGGAGATTAGTTAAAAAAAAGAGTTTCATTTAATATGTAAGTAACCAATAATGATCAGTGTTTTTCGAATATAAATTATAGTCTTAGTTTGAAATATTTGAAACAATAGAATATATGGAGAAATTGAAAGCGAAATTAAACAAAAGTTGATTTTTAGAAATAGAGAAACTTAAACTTCAGTTAAAGCATTAATAATTCCAATATTGTTACATTAATATTGTTAATAAATAAACTATGTAAATATTTAAAAAAATAAAACAAATAATTAAAATAAATAAAAAGTTTTTAATTATTCATTATGACATGCAATTGAATGCCATTGAATTTAAAACAACATTAACTGAGGCACATTTGTCTTTATCTGTTTGTTTTGCTTCTCCTTCGGTATTAAAAAATGTAAATGCAACAAAAAAAAAGTTCTAGAAATACATTTTAGGAGAAATTTACTCCCTGGGAATATTCAGAATTGGGGTGATTGAATTCATTACATTAAGTAAGATTTTGGAAAATCAACAAATGATTTAAAATTTACACTTTTTAATACATTAAACTTATGTATGTAGAATCTATTATATAGTACCATAACAGTGTCTTTAAAAATTTTAAGGGAAATTTCGAAACTGTTTTCCTGCTGACCCCTCATGCTTTATGAAATTTTGCATAACTTGCTTTTGTGCCTTTTCACGGGAATTTACCGAACCTGTATCACCATTGGTGTTATTGGTATTTTCATTCACCGCATTATGATTTTTCAAGTTCTTTAATGCTCCATTACCAGTCGATGCTTCGTTTGAAATGAGTGCAGTTGCGGCATCCTTGGATATGTTACCAGCAACGTTTGCATTAGTGTCTATGTGTGAGCAGGATGGTTTGTTGTCTTCATCAATCAACGCAGGCAGGGCAGAATTTTCTGACACCATATATTGACCGATATTCATTTCGTAACCTATTTATAGTAATAATAAAATTTTATTAAATTTATTTTTAATTTTTGAACTAAAACATTTTTTATTATATATTTACCTTCAACTATATCGTATAACTCTACACCGATGATTGTTGTACCTTCTCGGACTGTTGAGGAGTTAGGAACTGATATAGAACGTGGTTTATATGTGACAACGCGTGATATAAGTTTTTTCCATGATGCAACTGAAATGAAAATCTCTTTCAAAACTCTTCAAAAAAAAAACCGATATAGAAATATATGTATGATATATTCGCGCCCGAATGCACTATATGACATTATTAAACGTACATTGTTCAATAGAAAAAGCAACGAATCTCCTTTAGGCATGTTTAATAACATTACGAAATCGACCAAACTGAAGAGGAATGAAATCAGATATCAGAATGGAATCTATAGTGCTCTACCACTGGTTTCAAAAAAAAAAAAAACAGGATGCTTACCCCTCCCAAAATAAGTAATAAATTTTTGTTTATTTTCATAATTCCTAGTTTTTTCTTCGTATTCTAAATAATCATGCATAACACATATTATATAGTAGTTTGAAAAAATAAGAGACCAACACCTTTCCGTGTTATAATAGTAATTAATAGGTAAAAATAAATTGTTTGCTCTATATTTTATTGCAAAAATATTCTATATATTTTCTTATTTCTTCTTCTAATACATTTCAATTGCAACAACCTTATAAAAAATCATAAATAGGAGAGCTTTCAATGGCATATTACACACCACTATAATTATATTAATTTGAATAACATACTGATACCTCAAGCAGTTCTGACGCAAGAACACAAAAAAATGCTTAAATAAAACTACAAGCAACTATCCTTAAAGTTTAGAGTATAAGATCCACTTATACAAGAATATTATTAAACTTATTTTGGTATATGATCTCCATTTATTTAATAATACCAGTACGTGGTGTAACAGAAAAGATAACATTTACGAAGATTTATAAATACTAAGGAAAAAATCTAAATTCCAGACAATTACAACTTCACTTCCTAATATCCCCTCAACCTCAATCAACCTACCCACATCCTAATCCATGTATTTGTCTTGTGAATCCTTTCATGTTATTTGCGTTCCAGATCTCAGTGGATTACAACAACAGCGACAACAAAATATATTAAAAAGCTATATGCACATTACGAATGGACTCTGTCGTTTAAAAAAATCAGACCATCTAGTCATAACTCAGTAGGTATTTTTTCTCAAATTGGAGATCATTTTAAATATTATATATAATGTTATATGTTATATATTATATGTTATAATAATTATTTACACATTATATAATTTAAATATGTAAGTAATTTTAAGATTCAATAATTTATTGATAATTTATTTCTAATAAAAAATAGTAATATTTATATAAGAGAGTTTAATTACCTCCAGTCAACTCTTCAAATAGTTGAATCGATGCAATTTCCCAGTTGTTTGGTGAATTTATGCGAGTCGACTTAACATTTGCTAAAAAGCATTCAACAGCCTGAAATCTAATTTTAAAAAAATATGATTATTTTTGTAAAATCATTATGGACAATATAGATTACCTTAAAGTAAGGAAATCAGTGCGGAGTTCATACACATCATGTGGGGCAACATATTCGCTATCACCATAGTCAACAAAAAATAAATCCAACAAATTCTCGGACGTTTTATTTTTATTTGGAACAATACCAACAATTTCTGCGCGATACCATTTACCATCATATTTAAAAACGGCAGCAACGATTTGTCCAACGTACGGTTCCCTAATTAAATGATTATTACGATTGTGTTCAACGCTATAATATTCAGTCATTGTTTGAACCATTTCATCCAACTTCCTAGACTGTTGACCAACAAGTTGTACCCAGAATTTAGATGGTGATGCTATTGCCGAAACGAATACTTCAATTGGTTTTTCTTCAGTGATATTTGCCGAACATTTATCACGATAAAGTGGATGAGAACTTAACGATGTTTGAGATGAGTACAAGCTAGAATTTACACTATTTGTTGGCGAGCGACGAGGATCGCGATTTTGTTCTATATCTGTAATCGAGCGTTGCAATTCTTCAGATTCATTAACAAACTCTTCTAACAACTTCCGTGCAACATTTACCTAAAATAAATATAAATAATTTAATTCATTTTTTGTTTCTACGTTTAAATAAGTACAATTGTTTGCTTATTTGTTTGTTTTGTTACGTTTCGTACAATTTTAAAAATTAGGTAAAGTTAATTTCACTTAATTTTTTTATGATATTGTATTAATTATAATTATTAATATATTTTATTATTATGTATTCAATTTATTAGACAAATTTTTTAATTATTAAAGGACTAAGTCAATTAATATAATAGGATATCCAATTCTTATAGGCCACAAGTTCAACATACTGAAACTATTCGTCAACACCGTCAAGTTGGCATCACTCACTACTCCCATCAAAAACGTGAAATCCAGGATCACTAAGGAGGTTACAAGAAAAATTTATTCCTATACAGTATCTTTATACTACAGTATATTAATATTATGTGACGATTTACTCTATTATTAAATAAATAGAATTTAGCTCTCTTAAACAAACACCTTCCTGCTTGACCAGCATTTTTCTCTAATCTAGTTAAATGGATAATTTTCCGTTTGAAAGGAAGTACTCTTGAGGAAAGATAATAACTAAGAGTTAGTATTATATTACACGATTTAGAGAGAAGTTCGTTTATAAATGTATGCCTCTAACAACGCTTTGTTGTTGCTGTTGTAGCCCGACGGGACTATAACGATTTAAATGTATATGCTATAAGAAATCGTGCTAAGTGTAACAAATTCTATGTCTATAACAAAACAAGTAAATTTAGGTTAGAACATATAATATAAGTCAAGTACGACTTTGAGTCAGTTAGCTAATGAACACTGACTCTGAGCTTCAAACTTTGGTACTTGCAGTCTCAAAAAATATATATGAAATAGTTCCAAGACCACTGATGATGGGTATTTAGCAATACTCGAAACAGCTATATGGTCAGCCAAAAATTTAATTAATTAAAAATAATAAAAACATTTTGTTGTTGCAATTCACTACTGTTTGATAAAAACTTCTCTATTGAAAACAATAGTTTTTATTAAGAATTTAGTTACTCTTGTCAAAAGAGCGTTAAAAATCAATATAATAACATATATTATAGAATAAAATTTAATAACCTTTAAGGAATTGACAAAATGGATATAATAATTTCTAGATATTATTTATCTTATCATTACTTATTAGTATAAAATAAAAAACTATTTGCAAAACTAGGAATACACAACAAATACGAGTATCATTAAATTCCAAATAGTACTTACTTGAGCTTGATTGCCAGTTATAGTAATAACACGCTTATTACCACCCTCATTTACAGCATTATCTAGACCGATTTTAGCTTGCGATGAACGGGATATCTCCTTAATGGTTTCGTTACAGCGGCCAACTATTTTGCTATAAATCTGTACTGGCACACTAAAATCTTCAGTAACTATTGGACTTCGTTCAATTTCTTTTAATATTAAGGCTTTTGCATCGGTCACATTTTTTGGTAACCCAGAGATATCGCAATATTTCATATTCTCGTCGTCATCGTTATCGCTATTTAATATTTAAAAAATAATATTATATATTATTTACATAATAAAACTTCATTTTAAATAATTAAATATATTTACCGAAAGCGTATATGAGTATCAGTTGTTTGCTCAATTTGTTCAATATTTCTTCCTTGACGTCCAGCTATGATAGGAATACTTGTGCTTTTAATTTGAAAAGTGGTTATTATAATACCATCCGGCTTATTCGATTTAGCTTCTTCATTAGCATAATGCCAAAAATCACTAGCATTGTTATCATCGTCTTCATCACGATTTTTAAAATAGGAATACAACATAGCACCACCGATTGTGCATAGTCCGACGCCGAGTATTATTTTATACGTCGGTAGACGGGCAAACGGGCTTTGTGGAAACATTTTGGGTGTGTACAGTTCAACAATTTAGAAAACAAAAAAAAAAAAAACCTAAAAGAAAATTTAGAGAAAACAAGAATTTTAAAATAAATATGGTATATAGATTTTATATTTTATATAGTAATTGACATATATATATTATTGCATAAATGAGATCTCAAAACTATTTCTTTATTTGATGCCAATTGTATTTTTTTTAAATATAAAAACAACTATAAGTCCACATTTTAATAACTACATTGTTAATGTCGGTCTTCATTAATTATCTTAATAAATAAACAGACATTCTACAAACAGACATTTTTTATACAGACATTCTTTATACAGACATTTTATAGAAAACATAACTTAAGAAATTTTAGTTTTTTAGGTACGAGTACTCTATGTTATAGTGCAATCACATACAATAACAAAAATTAAATAATAAATTTACAATAAAAATGATGTTGTTTTCTATACTAAAGGAGTTTGTTTATTTATTTTTAACAGAACTCTGAACTGAATGTTTTTTATTTCCATTCAGTAAAAAAAAAAAACATATGTACGCGTTTCCGGTTTCCGTTCCAACAAATAAAATGGGTTTTTTGGCTTTTGGTTTAAATTTAAGTAAATGTTGTTAATCTATTTCTTCTTGATTCTTCTTCTTGAGTTAGTGCTATTACGCACTTTTACTCTATAATGACAGGGGGGCTTATCTCTATCCCATACTAGGCATTAACTTGGCTAAGAAATCATATCATTTATTTGTCTTTTAGTTGATGACGGACCTTAAATCAGCATTTCTTCCTCAGAGTTCAGAAGTGGACTTGGGGATTGTTAGGGCGGGGTTAAGTAGCGTATTTAAATCCTAAATTAGTTTTCTTTGTTTTTATTAAAAAAGAAAAAGTTGTAAAAAAGAAAAATTGGAGCTATTCACCATATAAATTTGATAAAAGTATGAGAGATTATAGTGGTAAGTCTATATATAAAATAGGTTGTTTCTTTAAATTGCTATAAACGTATGATAAAACTTTCTGAAACTTTATATTTTGAAAAAGATCTTTCATTAATCATAATATAATTTTAGAAGCCTACTTTTTGTTTCATCTATTATTTAATATATAAAGTAACATCCGATTATTTATTTCTAATAAGCTTAAAATAAATAAAATAAATTATAAATTAGTCTATATGATAACGTTATATTATTTTTATACGTTCAACTAAATAAAATAAAATATAAGTGTTATTAACATTATTGAGGTATAAATTAACGCTTTCAGTCGGAGCATTCGGTAGAATATCATATTAATTAAAAAATATAAAAACAAAATATAGAATCAATTACAATTTTAAACATTAAAACATATGGGTCAGTCAGTGTCAGTCACAAATATTATTTTCAAAAAGGTTGAAAAGTCAAAGTGAATATGTAAAATTGCATTCAAATCTAACAATATTTAAGAAAAATTAAAGAAAAAAATAAATTCAATCCATATTTTTGGTTCATAAATCTACCGCAGATAAAAATAATTTTGTCGTCATTTTAGTTATTTAAGAGCAAAATCATGTGAGTAAAAGGTGAATGCGTAAAAATGTTATTTATTTATTAATTTTATTTTGTTTTGCATTTAAAAATAGATAAACATATTTAAAGTAAACTAAGTTTTACTTTCACTTAAATGGTTTTCTTTTTTTTTAATTTTTTTTAATAAAGAAAAATACATTAGTAGATATTTCATCAACAAAAATTATTGCAGATATTTAAATTAATACAAAAGTTATTAAAAAAAGGGGAATCAAGCGAGGTATTTTTACGTTCAACTGAAGGTGCATTCGCAGGTAATCGTACCTGCAAAAGTTCGTTCGTTCGCAAGCATCCGATTTGGTGTGGATGCACCTTTACATAACTAGGACGATTAGAAATTTTCGGTTAAGCATATAGGTATATATTCACTCATTCATAATTCATTAATTTGCTTACAATTTAAAAACTTATGAATATAAACACAAACAACCAGTGTTATGGCATTAAACGGTAGTTGAAACACAAAACACCCACAAAAACTATTATTTACAAGTCCCTTTTAGATTCAAGCATACACTCATTTGGTACATATTTGTTTGCTATTCACATTTCAATCATTTCAACAGCAACAACTTACACATGACAATAAAAGTATCACAAAAAAAAGAAGAGCAAATTTTAACTACAAAATTGATTTGCTATGTAAATTGTTATTGTATTTTCAAGTCTTTGGCATGTTCACAAATAACTCGAAAATATAGAGAAAATATATATAAAATATACCACATTTTTTCATTCTAAGAAAAAATAATAATAATAATTGAATATATATTTACTTTACCTCTACAAAGATACACGTAATTAGATTCGATACGGTGAAATATTATACTTTCTACGGCACCGATGTAAACAAAGTATCAGAAACAGATAATACAGAATGGTTTTATTAATATTTTTTGTACTTGGTATCAACATTATTATAAATAATTTTATTCAAATAAATGTTTTGTACTCTGTAATATAATTATATTTTTAATATATAAAAAAAGACATATATTAAAAATTTTTATAGTAAAATATGTTAAGTTAGTATGTTAGTACAAATGATTATTTTAAATCATACCTACGTTACAAGATTTCTGTACTTAGATCAGGGTTAGTTTTCAACAACTCTTCTTCTTTAAAATCCAATATTTTTCTTCTTCACTATTTCCCCCTTCACTATTCCACCTTTACCGGGTCACCATGGACTGCGTTATCACCTTAACATAATGGGCCTGTCCGAAGAGATAGATTGTCGACTCTGCTTGGAAGCAGACGAGACTGCCCAGCCTTGATCTGTGCCAGGAGGATATCACTGGGTCGAGAACTACTCTCACCTCCTGAAATTAGGAGGTCTCAACGGCTGAAGTTCTGGCTTATATTCGGAAGGCGGAATGTCGTCTGTTCGGTTAGAGTCTGTTGCAACACAAAAGATCAACCATGCTCACTGTGCTCCGCTCAGTTGCGAGCTTGTACCCCATTTATTCCTATTCCGATTCCCCTCTTTTCACACTTAATTATACAGACTATTCTAACTTTTTCTATATGTGGTATTTTTTTTAACTACTTTCCAAAATCCAATCTTTCTCCACTTCACTATTCCTCTTATTTTCTATTGTATTTTCTAGACATTGTCAACTCTTCTCTTTTAGTGGAATTTTGTAACTATTTAATTTGATTCTAGAGTTTTTCCAGAGACGCTGGAACGACGGGAGAAACTATTACAACAACAACAACACAATTCAAAAAGACAAGGAGTCGATAAAAATATGTATTCAATAAATTTTAAAATTAAATACATACAGTCCACCTTCCATAACTCGTACTTCAATAACTCGAACTTTCTATAACTCGAACCAAAAACAGTGCACCAAGGTTTTAAAAAGCAAATTATATACAATTCTGCTTCCATAACTCGAACTTCTATAAGTCAAATTTCTCTTTAACTCTATAACCGATAGAAATATGGGAAAAGTGTATTCTATAAGTCGAGTTTTTGTTTTAAGTATAAATGCATTTCGCTGTTAGGGGAAGTCCCTTTTTCCAAACCCAAATGCCAGCCCCTGGCAGCGTGGTTTAAAGTAAATAAAATAACTTCTAATGCTACACTTAACGATTATATTAAGCTTGACAATAAAATTTGTACATCAAGTTTTCCTACAGATGACGATATTATTGAGCACTATAGCTCTAAATTACTCGATCCAATTCTAATTGTTCATCAGCCTTCTAACCATGAAGTAGAAGACTCATTCCACATTCTGAATTTATATTTGCAAAGAAATGATACTACAACTAATGATACCTATTAGAGTATATGAATAAAGTGGAATCTCTTTTTATTATAAATACGAAAAAAATTAAAGTCTGTGCTTTATTTAGTTGCAAATTAATAAATACCTTAAAATGTAATTTTAATTTCTTTCAAAAATAAATAAAAAATAAAAAAAATAAATAAAAATAAAAAAAAAATAATAAAAAATAAAATAAAAAAAAAATATTAAAAAAAATAATAAAAAAAAATAATAAAAAATAAAATAAAATATATAATAAAAAATAAAATAAAAAAAATAATAAAAAATAAAATAAAATAAATAATAAAAAATAAAATAAAAAAAATAAAATAAAAAAAATAAAAAATAAAATAAAAAAAATAATAAAAAATAAAATAATAAAAAAAAATAACATAAAAAAATAAAAAATAAAATAAAAATAATAAAAAATAAAATAAAAATAATAATAAAATAAAAATAATAATAAAATAAAAATAATAATAAAATAAAAATAATAATAAAATAAAAATAATAATAAAATAATAAAAATAATAAAATAAAAAAAATAATATTAAAAAAATTCTTTAACTCTCCATAAGTCGAACCTTTTCTTTGTAAAATTGGACTTCGAGTTATGGAAGTTTGACTGTATTTCCAAAGTTTTTCTACTTTTTTTTGTCTATTGTTTATATGATATTTCATTTATTAGAGACTAGTGACTAATAGAACTTAAACTCATTTAACCGTGAGAATGTTTTGAGTATTTATTTTTAATTTAAAAACAATTACATAAAACAATAAAAAAAATTAATATTAATATTCAAAAATTTTTTGTACAACACAAGAAAATGCGAACAAAAACATCACGTATACAAAATATTTTACAAGCAATAATAATTTTATTTTATTTCGCCAAGACCGAAAATTTCACAGAATTATTTGAAAGTGAAAAGCATATTACGTGCTTAATGAGGAAACTTTTACGTGTGTTAAAATCTACAATAAAATTTTTTAAATCCTAATTCTTTTGTTATTAAGCGAAAATTCAAATTAATTCCATGAGACGATGCACTTTTACGGTTTTAATTTAATTATTCGACATTTCGTCGAAAACCGACGTTTGATTGACTTTTAAAGAGGAAGAATAATAAAAGTAAAATATTTTTGTTTAAATAAAATTAGACAAGGAAAAGTAAAAAATATTTCACTAAAAGATGAGTTCCATAATT